AAGCAAGCGAATCATGGGGGAAGTAGCGAGGAACGCGTTACACAATAGAGCGTGGGTGAAAAAGAGACGATGGGAAATCCGAAACTGTTCAAGGCCGCTAGGCGTTGATATCCTGGGCAAACACCGAGAAATCACTCCCAAAGCTGCCATACACATTGGTTGTGGCAATGTTGAGATTCGTGATGTAGGTGCTCAAGAACCCCGACTTCTGGAGTGACTGAACCACGGAGAGGAGGGTCGCACTGGTGCCGGTGAATGTGTGAATTATCACAGACTGCTGAGCGGGGTGCGGCACCGGGAGTCTGAAATGAAGGGTAAGCAATTAGAGGGAAATGGCATCGGTTTTGAAGAAACGCGACGTACGGTGCCTGTTCCTCATACGCCGCATACGTATCCTCGAATGTGACGATCTGGTCCGCGATGTTATAGTAATTCGAGGAACCGATATCCTCCCCAGGGTTCAAAATAACCTGCGCTAGGGTCAGACGGCGCGCCAAAGATCTCTGCGAAATTAAATATGCGTACATATCCAGTTGACCGACCGGGCCACACGGCAGAGCGCGCTGCAGCGGTGTATGCGGTGTATGTCGATGTGAGCCCCGGCTGCGTCTCGTCGAAGAAGATGCCGGCAAGGCTGTAGGCGGTGTCCCACCCCGCGTACGTGCCAATGTCCTGCTCCACGTCGGCCAGCGAGCGGTTGCCGTAGCTCGTGTACACGTAGCCCACGAGTAGCACGTTCGCGTGGGTGCGCAACGCAGTGACGCCCGCCTGGTAGTTCGTGTCCGGCTGCGAGCCGGCGTCGCCGGGCCCGCTGTCGGGGTTAATGATCACGTAGAATTGAACATCGGGGTAGTCGCTTATGCTGCGTTGAGCGAGTCAGAGGGGGAGGGTAGCAGAAATAGGAAAAGGTAAACGCACGCCGTCTCGAGTGGCGCCCACGTCGCGGTCGTCTCGGGGTAGGAGTAGAGAGGGACCTGGCTCGGAATGGCAAACAGTTGAATTCTTCAACTCGAAAAACCAACTGGAATTGACGAACAATTATTCCAGTGGTGGCCTGGACAGGAACGACTGTCAGGAATGCCAGGACAGAGAGGAAGATTGCTGAAATCATGGACAGGTAGCTGTTGGCTTGAATGCGAACAAGAAGTGCGAGTACTTATAGCACGTAGTCGTCCAGTAGGCCCCCGGTCACTACTGTACAAGCGTGTAGGTACCAGAGGAGCATTACGCACAGCCACAGGTCCAGCCGGTTACCTAATTCGGGTAAGAGCCTGTTCGGATGCCAGATCCAAATCCATGGATCTGCCCGACTTTCCTTATTAAGTAGATCCAACATCATGTGATGTATGCGAGCGTGACAGTGAAATTTGACGCGTCTTGCGACTCTTCGACGCGCCCGAAGTCTCAATGCATCCTGTCTGCCTGTGTTACTGGCTTTATTGTCTATTCAAAAGATCTAACGAAACAATTTTAAAGTATTGGCACAGCAATGATCACGATCTGGCATTGAAATGTGCAAAGATTTCGTCGAACTCGACCGCCGATGACACGATGTCCCTCAGCGCCTGCTGCCCTGCGGAGAGGCGAGGCTTTTTACGATAGATTGGGGCGGCCTGGGCAGCTACATGCTTGCCAGTCTTGATCAATGCAAGCGGAGAAGAAGTTATTGTCTGTTAGCTGCTTTGATGAGCAAGGAACAGCGAGGACATACATCGTCGCTGTCGTCGTCGCCGCCATCGCCGTCGCCGCCATCGCCGTCGTCGTTGTGGTCCCCAATGGCACCACAATTACCCTCCATCTCCTTGTGGTCATCTTTGTACTCCCCATCAAAGTCCCGATTCATCTGCTCCTCGTTCCAGCGCGTGCTTGGGAACCTGGCTCCACCAGTCTCCAGAGCGCCACCAACAGTGGCAGCAGCATGGAAGCTCTTCGGTGTGAAGTTTCCGGCGCCGTCCCCAGCCTCCGCCTGGTGCTCGACGAGGAAATTGAGGAGCTGAGCTTTATTGTTGGGGCGGGTCCAGGGCACTTTGTCGATGGGGTCGGAGTCACCAGACACAGCTGGACCAGTAGCTGGGTTTGACTTGGGCAGCATTGCGGAAGTCTTCAGGGCGCGCGCTCGACGACGGAATGAAAAAAAAACACGCGAGGAGTCACAAATGATCACAGGCATCACATGATATTGGAGCTACTTAATAAGGAAGGTTGGGCAGATCCATGGATTTGGATCTGGCATCCGAACAGGCTCTAAACAGTTACCAAATATGACAATTTTACGCCCACTGGGCTTAAAATTGAGCAGGGCCAGAAAATTGCCAAAGTGGGCGCCCAAGAGCCAATTTTGAGTGTTACTCTTGCATTTTAGGCAACAATTTTGGTTGTTGTGTCATGTTACGTTGCCTATGTACATGCCTGTACAGTACCTTTGAATCCTGTCCGGGGTAGAGTAAATCAGCGGCCAAACAAAGCTCTTCCTCTGTTTGCTATATAGAAAAACAGCCTCCAAACTGCCCCTGTTTGTCCGCCATAGAGTAAATTGCGCACAGCGCGAGAATTTCTGTTGAACGCATATAAGCCGCCAGCACGACTTGTTATGCTGTCGGACGTGTCGGTGGTGATGTTGAACATCAGACAACAGTGCGCCGCAAATTTTTCTCACATCCACCGCTACTGAAAACACCTGCGGGAGGGTGGGAGCGAAAAAAAAAGGGCCCTGGAGCATGAAAATGGTATTTTATAAATACGCCGTCCGAAATAGAGTAAAACAGCGGCCGATGATCGGATTTCATAGAGTAAATCAACTAAAAAAAGCGGACAGGGCTCGAAGGTAGTGTCCGGGGGCTCGTCCAGTAGCTGTTGCAAGTGAAATTGAGACGGTTCCTGGCCTTACGCGGCATTCCCGCTACCGTAAGGAACGCCCTCATCGAGTGTACGGCCTATCCGGAGCGGTTCTGCCAAAATGTCGGAACTACCTCGGAGCGAGGTGACTACATACTGTAAGGCGTAGGCGCTGTGTAAGAGTCACTAAGAAAGCCTGTGTTAAATAGCACATATTTTCTAACATGTTATTGGAGTGTATTACCACTCAAAAATCCAGATTTCCGGATGCTCTGATTGCTTAAAGAAGCAGCCAATCGAATTTCAGAATCTCTTTGAATTTTGTGAGTGCTAATACACTCTCTATCAACATGTACGTACATTTCTAACATCGGGGGTCCAAGTATACATGTAATTAATCTGTGAGAAACCCCGGGTTTCATTCAGTCTGTACTCTCGGGTATAGATGGTTCAACTACGACGACTGAGGCCGGGAACTGAGTTTGCAGTGGAAACTATTTCAAGCAAGTGTTCAGTAACTAGTCACATTGCCCGCTGATTACATAGGCCAATTTAGCCCCTTCTTCCGGATAAATCTTCCACTACTCATATGATCTGGTCAGCTCACATCGATGAGGCATGGTACCAGGTCCATAAGGAGAATAACATCCATTCCATGGCCAGAGGTACGTCAAGCCTCACTTGAGGTCAGGTGAACACTTGGCTGAAATAGTACAGTACGTCACGGTCTCCAAAAATGTTGATTTACGCATATTCTGGGACCTCGTGTCAGGCTCCCATAGATATAAACATACAGGAGGCACTTCTCAATCTGCGGCAGAGATTAACGAAAAAAATTTCGGCCTGAATGATCTAACCGACGGGATCGAGCACCTGCTTCCTCTACTCGTAAAATCTGGTCAGCTCACATCGATGAACTCAACTTGGCATGGCACCAGATCCACAAGGAGATTAGCATCCCCATGGCCCGAGGTATGTCAAGCCTACCCTGGACTTCAGTGTATTGACATCTTCAAAGTGAATCAGAACACTTGAGGTCATATATCACACCTGGTGAACACTTGGTTGAAATAGTATAGTACGTCACGGTCTCCAAAATGTTTTTTTACGCATATTCTGGGACCTCCGGGTCGCCTCAGGCTCCCATAAATATAAACACACAGGAGGCACTTCTTAATCTGCGGCAGAGATTCATTAACGAAAAAGACTTCGGCCTGAATGACCTTACTGACGGGATCGAGCACCTTCCGGACTAATCTTCCTCTACTGGTAAAATCTGTCCAGCTCACATGGGTGAGCTCAACTTGGCGTGGTACCAGATCCACAAGGAGAGTAGCATCCATTTAATGGCCCGAGGTACGTCAAGCCTACCCTGGACCTTAGTGTATTGACATCTTCCCTTAGCCGGCGTTTTCTGCGGATGCGCCTGCGAATCCTTCGAACAGCTGACCGGAGCAGCCCAGCGTGATGCTATCCGAGCACAGCGCAATCCGGTCAGCGAAGTCCATTTTTTGCAGCACGTCTCAAAACCTGGAGAGGGAATTTCAGGGCTCGACTGGCCCGTAAACGGGACTTCCTAGCAGACGAATGTGTAATTCCTGGTCGGATTCTGTCCGTCGTAGGAATGACAGTGGCGGAGAGGCTAAATGCACCTGTCAATGGTGTATTGCGTGCGACAATAAAAATGCTGGTCATGAGCCTGCTAACACCAAAGCGAAGGCGGTTTCAAGGCTGAACACACCCCCTGTTTCCGAAGGCACGACGACTGGCAAGAAAGGGATCATCCCACAGGCCGCGTCCCGGCTGTCTCATTGACGCCAATTGTTTTGAGGGTAAAGGTGAGCATCTCAAGGGAAAGCTTCGTCCATCTGTCTATTTTCTCCATCGACTTACTCACGCCGGGGCAGGATTCCGAATAGATTATCTACGGCTGGGACAAGGGCGCAGAACTCGGAATACATGTCTCAGGGCGACCTCAACGTCAGGCTCTCGCGTATTTATGGGGGGCTCGACGCACTTAGCGCAATGAGCAGATATGGTGGTGATGAACTTAAGAGTAAGCGCCCATAAGCGCCGACCAGTCCGACCCGGTTGATCCGAGTTCAAGCTCCGCCTAAATCTATGACTCACTTTGACTCCATCCGATTACTTGGAATGGGCGTCACAGCAGCATGGCGCAGTTGGAAGCGCGCGGGGCCCATATTTATAGGACACCCCGGGGTCACTCGATCGAAACGAGTTGCTGCTATGGATCTTCAGATTCGGGTATTTCTTTTACTTATAGAATTTATATTTTGGAATCGCTACCTTCTCGCTGTCGAGGTACGCTCTCCAAGACGGGACTCGCAAATCAAATCACCTTCGTGCGCTCAAGGCACTGGCCGCGATTTTGATTGTGGGCGCGTTTTCTTTCTCTGTTGCACCGTGGCCCTGCGACCTTGACGATTCTACCTCTCTCAGGCTGGAGCGGAAGGGTATCCTCGGACGGATCCATGCGAATTGTTTCGGCGCTGGTCTACGATATAGATGCGTGCGAATAATTTGGACCAAAATATGCTCCCGCGATCGGCAAGAGGAACGAACGATGCACTACATCCTGCCCATCTTGAAAGGAAGTGCACTACGGCCGGAGGAACCTCCAGCATGGACTAAATATCCTGCGCTGCGGAAATATCACTTGGGTTACGCATATCTGCACATGTGGATTTCCTCCCGTTGCTGATCGTTGATTTCCGGGAGCTCAGGCCCTCTGCGGCATTTGCATTATCCATTAAATCCACCTCGCCGAAGTGAAACTGGGCTCGGAGACTCTTGAATGTCGTGGGTCCGGGAGCGGCCTCACGGCTGCCCACTTGACTGCCCACAAGTAATTGTCCCTCAGCAGGCAATCGGAAACAGGCACCGAAATGGAGTTTGGCATTCGGACGATTTTTATTGCTTGCGGCGATCCGCATTCCGGGGATTGTATATACATATCAACAGGTATGCATATCTCGAGGATCCGTTGAGTGACCCAGCACGTTGTTACGGGTGATATTGTTATGCCTGGAACCAGGCGAGAGTATGGTGAACGCAACGGATGAGGAAGGGAGTTATATTTAAACAGGTCTTGGAGTACTTAGCTGCATCAGAGAACGAGCATCATACGTACCTAGCGTTCTTTCGGCGCTTCCATTTATGCGTGTGGCCCGGGTTAATTCATGGGTGCCGAGGAAATATTTCATTCACTTGAAGAGAGGATATAACTTGGGATATAATACATTTGTATTGATGGGACAAAAACGCCTAGTTTGCGTCATTCGCTTGTCCTGGATTTCCGCTGAAGTGGAATCGTTCATTTTTATCAACGAGAATTCCCTCCCGCCGACGCGCACGCATCAAATGAAACGTGTTACCTGATTCATTTGTGTGACTCTGAGCGTTACGCGACGCGCCTGCACGTGCCACCCCGTGATCAAGTTTGGTTTGCCGTGCACAGCCACGTCTTGCCCTTGTCCTCGTCTTCGTCTTCGCTCCACGACGCCCGTCCGCGTCCAGGCTAGGCTTCAAGCCCGAAGGAAGGGAAGGCCCAAGAGGGAAGTGCTTACGCTGACGGTACTGGTGAGTCTCGCTCCAGATTGAGGAGGAGAGGAGCCTGACGGGGTGCAGATCTAGAAGAAAAGCCGACTTGAAGCAAGTAACGCGTTCACGAACGGAACGGACGAGATCTACGACTGCTTTCTACGAGCTCATCCATCTCAACATCTATCTCATCATCTATATACGCAAAAAATCCCAAAAAAATCAAGCAAGAAACAAGAATCTAACGACGGCGACGACGACGATGGCTTCATCATCATCATCAGCGGGAGGAGGGGTGCCGAGCATCCGCCTCATTGTGCCGACGCCCGACGTCTCCGCCTCTACATCATACACCGCTTCACACACCGCATCCATATCCAGGCACCCCGCTCCGGCGAAGAAAAAGTCCGTCCTCGGGCTGTTCGCGGGCGCAGGGGGCTTGGTCACGCAGACGCAGACGCCGTACAACACCGCGCGCGTCCCGGTAGACTTCAGCGACATCGTGCGTCGCGTCGGGGCCGGTGCACCCACAGGCTCGGGGTCAGTGAAGGGGTCGGTGACGGGGAGGGGGTGGGAGGTGCGCATTGATGCGGATGCGGATGGGGAGGGGACGTGGGGTGCGAATGGGGGTGAGGGAGGATGGGGAGGGGAGGGAGAGGAAGGAGTAGGAGGAGAGGGTATGGTCCTGATCCGCAAGAAGGCGAAGACGCGCGGGAGGGTCGACGGCGTGTTCTCGCCTCCGGCGGCGCTTGGGGACGTTACCAACGCCAGCGCGCGCCCACCTGTTGCGCCGACGCCTGGACTGGAGCGAGATGTGAAGGACGGGGGGAAAGAGGGCAAGGACAAGTGGTGGAGTCTGGCTCGCGGGCGGAAGGATACCGTCGGGAAGGAAAGCGGGGGTGTGCTGGGCTTCGTGAGGCGGGGAAAGTGTAAGTGTTTTGTTTCCTGCGTACGGTCTCTCCCATCCCTATCCCTTCTCCCTTTCTTTCGCTCGCCTCATAACATACCTTCCCATCCTCCCACACGATCCTGACACTCCATCACAGCCCCCGGCCCCGGCTCCCTCCCGCCCACGCCCACCCTGGAAGTCCAGCAGACGGTGTACGTCAACCAGCACCGCACGGCCCTCGACGCGCGCCTCCAGCATGCGCACGATCATCGGGCTCAGCAGACGCAAGCACAGGGACACCAGATGTACCTCCCCGGCGAACCAGATTGCACCCTCGATATGGAGGAGGTGCCGAGCGTGCGGATGCGGAGGGGCGTCCTTAAAGGTTGGTGCCGGTTTTTTTTTGTCCTTCCTTTCGCTCTCGTTTGTCTGTTCTTATTTCGCTCCCCTCTCAACCTCTCGTTCCTGTCTTTGTTCTTTTTTCTTCGTTTCTTTTGGGGGTCGAGGACGATTTCTTTTGGAGAGTGCCTTTCTTTTGCTTGCGGGGCGCAGGCGCGTGCGCGGGGTGCTCCTTGCGGACTTGACTTCGTCAATCTCTTTCTTTCTTCTTACTTCTTTCCTTTTCGTCGAGGCTCAGGCGGGGTGTGCCCCACTTTCCGCCTGCAGGATCTTGCTATTGCTCTCCCTCTGCTCCTTTCCTTCTCGACCTTTGCCGCGCGCCTCTCTCCCGTTCCTTTCTTTATTTTTGCCCTATTGCTTTTGCTTTACTTTAAGTACGCGGAGGGCGTCGTTTCGGGTGGCGGGGGACGTACATAGTACATGCTGTGGCGTTGCCCTCCGTGGGAGTGTGCGTGGACGGGGATGGCAAAGACGTTGTTCTTGACGCTCAGCGGGAGTCGGAGGGTGCGGCGGGAGCAGAGTGGCGAATGACTTTTCAATGGGATTGCCGTCTTTCTTCTGTTTCGTTCGTCGTTAATCTCTTCTCGCTCATGTGGGCGGCTTCACCTGCATTTCAGGAATTTTCATTCTCCTGTACTTATTTGGCTTCCTCTTTCGTTACTCCGGCTTCATTTCCGTTTCTCTTCACTCTTCCTCTCTCCTCATCCTCATCCTTATACCCGTTCACCCGCTGACACCCCCCTCTTCTCTCCTTGCAGACCTACCCCAAGCTCCGGCACAAGCACAGCCCTTCCCGCCGCAGAAGCGCTTTCACTCACTCGGGGCCTCCAACGCGCTTGCCTCCGTCCCCGCCCCCGCCCCGCGCACGGAGTTCCAGCGCAGCCTCAGTGCCGGGGCGCAGCAGCACTTGAATCCCAATTCCGCCCAGCACCAACAGCAGCATCAGCAACGCCCGAATCCCAATCCCACGGAGTACCAAGGCCGCTACGCGAACCTCCCGGGCGCGTCGGCGCCGTATGCGACGATGACGCGGGCGGAGCGATATGAGATGCCCGCTGCCGCTGCCGCGGCTGCGTCGGGCTCGGTGTCAAAGGCGGGCTTCCCCAGCGCCCAGCACCAACAGCAAGCCGCTCATCCCCAGCACCACCCACAGCAGCAGCCCGCTCACCCACACCCGCACGCGCAGTTCCACCGCAGCGCGAGCGCGATGGCGAGCCTCCCGCAGCCGCATCATCACGCTGCGCCCGCGCCCGCGCCGCCCCACGGGGAGTTCAAGCGCAGCGCGAGCGCGTTGGCGGGGCTGGCGGGGGGCGGGGTGATGTTGGCTGCACCTGGGGCGGCGGGGACGCTGGGCCGGGCGGGGGCGGAGACGCACGTACCCGTGGCGATGTCGCGCGCGCCGACGCCGACGTTGGGCGGGAGGTCCGCGACGCCGACGATGGGGGGGCTGTTGGCCGTTCCGGGGACTCTGAGGGAGAAGGAGAAGGAGCAAGGCTCGATTGCGCTGCGGGCGATGCGGAGCGTGAGGAGTATGGCGCGGTTGTGGGAGGGGGAGGAGAAGGAGAAGGAGAAGGAGGAGCCTAGGGACGGGGAGGGGACGGTGCGCGTGAAGAAGAAGGTCAAGGTCAAGGTCAAGGCGAAGGAGGAGAAGAAGGAGAAGGAGAAAGAGGAGAAGAAGGAGAAGAAGAGCAAGGACAAGGCGGGGCGTCTGCCGAAGAGCTCGGGGAGCAGCTTCGAGGTGGGCGCGCTGGGGACGTCGCCTGTGCAACGCAAGCGGAGCATCCTTGGGCTCGGGCTGGGGAAGGGTGCGGCGACGCTGGGGAGGGGGGGCACGGGGATTGGGATGGGCCTGCCGAGCGCGCTGAGCATTGGGCGCGGGGCGGGCGGCGCGAAGACGAGTACCGCCAGCAGCGTGGGCGGGGCGGCGTCGGCGTTCGTCGCGCAGAGCACCGCCAGTGCGGGGGCGGGCGTCAATAACCCGAATCGCCTGAGTGCCGAGTCGGCTGCGGGCGGGAAGAGGGAGAGCACGAATTCGAGCTTGCGCCCACTTTCGGTGCTGTCGAGCGGGAGCTCGGCGGGTTCGCGCGTGAGCAGCGGCAGCAGTGTGCGTTGGGCGGAGGAGGTGGTCGATCGGGTGCGTGGGAGGGAGAAGAAGGAGAAGAAGGTGGAGAAGGAGAAGGAGAAGGAGGGGCGCGAGAGCCGGCGGTCGTCTGAGGGGCGTAGGCGGACGCCGCTGAGCGCTGTGTTCCCCGGGTTGTCGCGGCGCTCGTCTGCGGCGGAGAGCGCGGTGGGACCGCCGATGCTCACGGTGGAGGAAGCGACGACGGATGGGCATGGACATGGGGACGAAGACGAAGACGGGGGTTATCAGCTAGTGTCTGCGACGCCTGTCAAGCGCG